AATAATAAAAATATTTTATAACTGAAAATTAAAAATGCCAGACCCTAGGAAATAAACCGAACTAGATCCATGGTAAGTGTAGAGATTGGATTAATTTCTTCTGAATATACAGCTCTGGCTTTTCGATGCATATGGCAAGGGCTTCTACAGTACAAAGAAGTCGAAATCCCACTGTCTTTAAGTAGATATTTGGTTACTTTGTAAATGACTCTGAATGACGAGTCAGTTGAGATGGTGTGACAAGAGTTGACGAGGTGTTCAATTATTGTGCTTCTGATTGAACCAGTAGCTTGCTCCTGTAGGGGACTTTTAGGAGAGCTCATTAACATTACAAATATGTAAATAAAAATCCAAGTCAATGAAATGATAGAGTAAGTATATATTATCAAAAAAGTCAGTAATGCGTTATATTAAGGAAAAGATTACTTGATATAACGGTAAAATCCGCGGCTACAAATTAATTAATACAATCCAAGGGAGCGTTCACTGTTGGAATGCATCTGCTGGTAGATACTGTGGACCGGTTGTAGAGTTGTCTTCAAAAAAGGACAATAGACTCCTGCAATAAATTCAAAGTATACAATACGGTATGAGTGCAGGTAGTAAACAGAAATGGCCAGAGAGAAGGCGGAGCTTCCAATAGTATAGTGTATTTCGAATTGTATCCGGAGGTTATATATATATATATATATATATATATATATATATTAACATGGATCGTTTTAAACAAAAATCATGTACAATGTCTCTAATTTCAACAACTAACAAAAAGCATACAATCATATTTTTACGTACTCCATACTCCTCTTTGCAGCCATGCTCTCTAACACATTTCGGTAGGATCTGTGAATTGATATATTCACACTGAAGTGGTCACATGTAGGAGTCTATCCTTCACATTTTGCTTCGAAGCAGTAGGTGGCTGGATAATACCACTCTTAGAGTTGCTGCAAGATAGGTCTTCTTTAGAGAACTGAGGATTCATCACATACACCTTCTTCAGATGAATTTCACCAGTGGTATGATTTAACATAAAAAAATATGAACGCCACTTTCAATTAATTCTTATCACGACAGTGAATTTGCCTGATTGCATTACGTCTACTTAGGAAATAAGGTCAATAAAAAAGAAAAGTGTTAGTTACGATGTATTCCTGTCTCTTTCAATACTCCTCTAATCATTGTCCACTACCCGTTCCCCCGCAACCCGCTAACCCTACTCTACATAAGTCATTCTATGAATGAGCTCAACCATCAGTCAATTTATATATACCTCTCCACATAAAAGAAAAAGGAATTTAAGTTATGTCAAATCCGTTTCACACACACACACTTTCTATCGATATACAAAATATATACAAATAAATCTTTGTTGGCCTTGAACGAATTTCAATGCAACCTTGTTTAAATCGAAACTATTTAGGCCTACTTTTTTGATACATTTAGACAACACATATATATGCGCATATGTAAATGTTATTGACATACAAATATAAATTTATATAGAATGACTTCAATTAAATTCAGTTTTTTTTCATTTTATCAATCTTGACAATACCGACCTAATTATTTAAGGTCAATGATGCCTTCTTCGTATTCTTCTCCTCGTCTTGCACCACCTTTTCCTCGTCTTTTATCATTTAAAAAAATTATACTACTTTTTATATCAAAACATTTACCCCACATCGATAATATTCAAAGCGAGATATTATCATAACCATTTGCACTACTTTGTTGAAAGAAACAAGGACAATTAATGAGTATTAATAATTGCTATCATTGTTAACACATTTAAACAATTAACCTTATTTCCCCTAACTGAAAAATAAGTTTCCAAAAAAATATATATATATATAAAATAAAATTATCGCTACTAACTTTATTCGAGAATATCAAATCAGAAGATAATTCACGGAATAAATATATAAGTATATTGTTTTTCTTTGTTATAACCTTGAGAATATAACGCGCCAAAACTAAAATTCAAATTTTCCCGCGCTTAATTTAAAATCTATAAAATAGTGATATAAGAATGATGTTAAAGCATACCTCATAAATTGATGGCTGTTTTCAATGTACACATCTTTTTAGTCTGTGTCGTAGTAAATGTTTCTCGATTGTCAGATCTAGGAAGCAGGCTTTGAAGAAGTTAAACATATGAGGGTATCATCTTTATGGTTTCATGCTTCTCTTTTCTATATGGCTACTTAGTAGCACTTTTGAGGTAATTTTAAGTTCTTTATGTTATTATTGAACAGAGCCACATATTCTGGTGATACATAATCCTCTTTCCTCTGTCTTCGGAGTGGTTTGTGACGATGTGTGTCTCACGCAAATTTCAGACAACTTTACAGTCGAATGCAGAGATTAGTTCCCTGCAGTCAAACCACAAAGAGTCTGTTTCGGTTGCAACAATGCTAGTAATGTATATATGGCGTGTGACATAAGAAATGCTTCGTCTTTCCACTTGTATTTTAGTAGCGCAAATTCAAACTGGTGTATTTTATGGGTAAACATTATTAATTTACATAGAAATACATTAAGAATCTTCACTAACTTTAGATGAAATGGGTGAATTAAATAGGTGAACACACGCTGTTTCCGTTTTCATTCAGTATTTTTACATACCATTTGCATAACTATCACTTCTTATGATGAAAGAAGTACATTAATATTTAGTCATCTTTAGGCTGTAATCCATCTATAATCCAATAGTTTCATTTTTATGCCATCAGAAACTCTCACTGCTCACTAACTTCCAATGATCATTTGTCTGATTTATCTGCTTTTAACGATGCTTACTTTGTGATCGATCAAATCACTACGATTCTAACATTTTGATATTAAGTTTGCAGAAGTTTGCATTTGTTACCTATATTATCAAGTGATCGCTTGCAGGTGTTGGATTGATTTTCAGACTCAACATGAATTTGATTTCAGGACATTTGAATACCAGGGAGTACTGCAGGGCTGTTTTGTTCGTACCTTATGACCCCACTAGAGATGAAATCGGTTGGCAGTCGAGCTATGTAAATCACTTGTTTGGCGGACTTTATGATTCATGGTTGATTAGATTCCCTTCTGGTGTCTCTATGGTCAGTGAGCTTGTTTTGTAACCAGAAGCTTCTGAGTTTAACCTCTAATGGTGGGTGCGTGCATCTGAGGATTTCCTGAACAATGAAGACATAGTTGTCTAGTACTTACAGCTTTTCTGTAGTTCCCTAACTGGAATCAGTGCATAGTCAAGTTTGGAAAGGGAAAATATTTTAATTTGATAACTGCTCAAAACTATACGTAGGTGAAGCTACTCTTGTTAGACAGAATTTAGCGTGAAGGGTTGTTACAGAAAACAAATATCACTGAATGTAAAAATAAAACTAATAGTAATATTAATATTGATAGTAATACTGATAGTGGTAATAATAGTAATGTCGAAATTCGTGACTGACATACACAGAAGACGGCAACAGTAAAGGATTTAAAACACACCCGTAATACTTTTCCATAGAAGGAAGGAACCTCTTAATTCTTAACAAGGCAGGAGTAAAAGTGAAATTCAGACCCACAAGCTCGTCTGGACACAAAACAATTTAGTTTATCTAACACATCCTGCAAGGATTGTCACGTAAAATTCCCACAGGTTCAATAAGATTAGCGGAGTCTAAAATTCTAACAAAATCTAAATTAATCTTCAAGAGTTGATTTGTAAGGATTGAATTTGTTGTTTACGAGTTCAATCACGGATTGTTATCAGTTAGAGAACCATTGAAGACCAGCACCGGAGTACTGCTTCATCAGCCTAGTTTCAGAATCATCGTCAGTACGCACCCACTTCCAGGGTTCGAACCCAAAACCACTGGGACTCGATTCAATAGCCAACCCATGAATTCTAATTTAGCGCGACTACCAACCAATGTCATCAGTGGAGAATCCATCCATCAGAATAATTTATTCTGATACTCGCTGGTGACCTGCTAGAGGACAGAGTTTCCTGGAATTCCAGTGAGATGTCGTGACCAGTGAGATCCAACCAGTAAACTGTGTGAAGATGCATTTCCCACAGATGACATTGGTTGGTGGTCGTGCAAAATCATGAATTCGTAGAAGTTAGAATTCATGAGCTAGCCATTGAATCTAGTCCAAGTGACTGAATGGTATACTGGCATGCTTTTTATCCCATAGGTCCTGAGTTCGAACCCTGGCAGTGGGTGCGCGTACTGACAATGATTCTCAAACTAGGCCGATGAAACAGCTGTCCAGTACTCTGTGGTCAAACTTCTAAAAGCAAAATCCAGATTAGTTGACCCTATAGCACTACATGCAGTTGCACACAACCATACAGTGCGATGAGATATTAGGACAGTTCTAAAATCTAATATATAACAGGGCAGAGGGAGGCATAGATAATGGAGGCTCTATTTAATCGGATCAACAAGACATATATGCAGCAGAAATGATTCAACATCTATTCACCCTCCTGGACATCTGGACAACACTACTATCCCTAGGATAAACAGGTAGGAATGAAGACAACTGTGAAACAGAGAGGCTTGGAAGTTGGTTAGTTCTAATTGATGATGATGATGGTTATGAAGAATAAGGGGTATACATTGTGTTGGAAACTTTGTCGTCATCCAGTAAACAACGAATAAAGAAAATAATATTGTTTCACACACTGTATATATCAGGTATCTGATCAACAAATTAATATGGAATAACTTTCACCTACTGTAAAGCATACTGAACAATAATTTTTTATATTTCAAATCACACGTTTTACACGTTGACTGACAACACCACCAAAATGTACTTGAAAACAAAAAATGAGCGGAAAATAACACAAATGTTCATTTTTGTTAAAATTTTTCAACAAATTTATTTACACGCATAACAAGTAAACATCACAATAAATAAATGACGCTTAATTTGTAGTTTAATCGTTCTTGTTCATATTTTCTCACGAAATAACACACGACTTAATTTTTTTCAAAAACAAACAGGTGTGTGCTGTCGGCTAAATCGCTATTGAAAAATATTTGCAATGGAAACAATGAATTGATGAGTTTGTTTACACATGAATGCGCATATATGCGTATATATATGCGCATAAACAAGTATATGGTTTAACTTGAAAACAATCCAAACTTGGCAGCCTTCACTTCAAAACTGATCTGATGCTCACTGTCGATCGATTTAAGATTGAATTCTTCAGGAGTTAGAAGTCGAGTCCACTGGAGTCAATCGGGTTAGAAATGATATCATTTTGAAATAATATTAGTAATGATAATAATAATTATTATTATTATTTGAATTATTTCAAAATAGTACTTATGGTAAAGCATTTGGGTGAGCGAAATAAGGTTTCATTGTACTTGCTTCTACAAGCATATAATCGTTATTAATGAATTCTGGTGCTAACTACTTGATGGGGTTGAAGGTGGCGTGAAGAGTTGTGAATAGATAGTCAGATGTTGACAGTCAGACAATATGTATTTAAGCGATTTCTCTCATGAGTTCAGACGGTAAAAATCTATGGTTGGAAACAATTGGTGACATGGCTCAAAACCGTTCCCAGTGGCGCAGATGCATCCACTCCCTGTGACTTATGATCTTCAATGAAACTGTTTTGTATTTCTTTATTACTCATTTGTCTCACACCTCTGCTCACTGTTTCTATTATGCTTTTCTTGTACTTTCTTCTCTTGCTTCGCGTGCTACACGGAATGTGGCGACTTGAACTTCCGCACATTTGTGCAAATTTCTATGTCGAAAACAGACAGACAGACTTCTCTCGATCACGGTAGTAAAGAACAAGATGACTTACTGATGGCGCACCACTGCATATATTGAAAACGCTTAATACCTTTCACAATGTGACAAAGTCGCTTTCGAGTAATTCAGTAAATGACTGTGGGCAAGCAGCAATAAACGACAGTTGGTAAGATGTAAGATTTAGCAAATTGTGAAAGTAGATGTCGAGTGATTCCTGATTGTTTGTTAATTACCTAATGTTGTTAGTCAGACGTAACATTTCCTCAGAAACTGGAAGGATTTAGGATGACCAACCAGGAAGTCTAAAAAGTAAAGAACTATCCCTAAGCATTTCATGCTTGACTTAGTTTCTGTATCAGTGACGTCTATGCCACGAGCATCTTATGAACAACCAATTTAGTACAGGTCATCTTCATGCGCGGAGGTGAAGGCATTTTAATGTTAGACGATTTCCACAGAGAGCTATTCACTTTGGAACAGTTAGATCGGAACTCAACTAGCAGCTGATAGTGGTTTCATATCTCCGAAACTGGCGAAAGTCAGAATGCACTGATCAGTTTATGTATTTCCTCCGATCGATAGAATGGTCAAAGAATTTGCTTCATAATTCTCAGTTAATGTATTCCATCTCAGGTGGAGGGTTCACGGGTGATTGATATTGAATAGCCCTAAACTAGAACGAAACAACTGTACAGTACTCTCTCTCTCTCTGTCTCTTGTTATCAGCGGCTCTGAAACTCATGTCATTCTGTTTCTAATCTAACTTGATACCCGGCATAGTTTTTACACTTAGGTTCTCAGAGTCTTTATTGACCGAAGGTGAGTACTTGAAACTGCACACATTCATAAGTGTAACACAATGTCGATAAACACCATAATTACATGAGGCGAATTAATTTGATTTGTAAATATCAAATTTCTGATGCGCAGTCTTGGGGGCAAACGTGTAATAATTACCCAGTTAGTTGGAGGATTTCATCATTAGCTGACATCAGTTAGCGAACCATTTGAAAACCAGCTAGGAGTACTAGAGAGCTATTTGGTCAGCCTGGTTAGGGATTCTCCAGTAGTCCGCACCCACCGCCACAGTTCGAACACAGGAACTTCTGATTACAAGGTGAGCCAGCTTGTAGACCATTAAGCCACTGGTAGTCGACCTGATCCACTGACCAGTCCATGAATTCTAACTTCTACCAATTCATGACATAGAACCAACACTTATCGACGTCCTCTTCGATGAGTTACTGCCCCAGAGTACAAAATTGAAAATTGATCTGATGTTCATTAGCGACTGGCCCTATTCAGATAGGTAGTTGCCTGAGGTTCTAATGGGAAGCCTTGACCAGCAGTGTACAGCAGGTTAAATAAAGGTGAGGCAGTAACTCATCGAAGAAGACATTGCGAAGTGGTTGCGCTATATCACGAATTGGTAGAAGTTAGAATTCATGGACTGGTCACTGGATCGAGTCGAGTCCCAGTAGCTTAATGGTCCACCAGCTGGCTCGCCTTGTAACCAGAAGGCCCTGTATTCGAACCATAGTGGTGGGTGCGTACTGATGAACGTTTCCAAACCAGGTTGACGAAACAAATCTCCAGTACTCCTAGCTGGTTTTCTTATGTGTCTCTAACTGATGTCAGCTCATGATGAAATCCTCCAACTAACTGTGTAATAATTACACGTTTTCTACCAAGACTGTATATCAATAATTTGACATTTACAAACCACATATTGGTTTTTCACCTTCACTACTTGCCTTTGTCTTCGTCTTTGTTTAATCTCTAATTGTAACACGTCTCTTTGTGGTTGTGTGTACAATGATCATGTATTGTTCAATGAGATAAGTGTCTTTTGGCCAGGAATGAAAGAGATTCTGACCCGCCACTGTGTCTATAGGAAGTGTTGGCGCGTGATTTTTATAGACAAAGCTTTTGAGTCTACCTCCTTGGGTGGGAGAATAATCTCCTTGATTCTATGGTACTTTCTTTTACAGTCGAACTTTAGTTATCTGATTTTGTTTTACAGTGCTTGTTTTGTATCTTCAAACCTAAATTGCCTGTATAGCAGCTCCTTTACGGCATTATTGAGTTAAATTTGAGTTTAATTTTTAATATTGTTTAACAGAACCGCTAAAATACAAAAGATTAGTCATGTATTACCTGCATTTGGAAGGTTTTGTGATAGTGTTGACTATACAGTAAAAATTAGAGATCTTTTTCTTGAGTTCAGACCATATCCGAATAAATTTTGTCATTACAAAGACGATTAGAATGAGACCAAAAGATAAGGTTGCTCTGAAGAAGACATATAAATATTCTTTGCAAACCAGAAAACTGATATTTATATATTCCATAAATATTGGCTAAATTCAAATGACTCAAACATTTACGGTCAATTTTTTTTTGGTGATACATTTAAACAAATCGACATTATCTGGTGTGGCATTGTGAAATTGTTCCGTCTGCAGACATAGTTAAGACGTTGAAAAAAAACAAATAACTTTATGTTGTAATCACGCAAACTTTTCAAAAGTGCCAATACGGTGGTATAAGTAAGTATGACAATACTGTAAAAAAAGATAACGTTCCTTTTCAAAGTCAACTTTGAAATATGAACTTACCATTGAAGGTCACGAAAACTTTGAAATCTACTCAACTCTTCTTCTTTTCGTGTGTGTGTGTTTGAAAAAGAACCTATAATTCTAGATGAAATTTTGAAAATTATTATTGACACAACTGTCATTAAATGATCAATATGATCAGATGGTTGATTTTACTTAACATAACACAAACATGTGTTCAATAGTTCAATGAAACGTGAACATTGAATATTGAATGAAGAGAATGTGTTTTTTTTTAATTAGGACAGTTACGTTGAATAATATTGAATAAATTCAATACATAATGGTTATGTCAACCTTTTAACTCTCCATTTTTTTAACTGAGACCTATTCGGATTAAATTATTTCTCTGGAAGATGAACTGGACAGCTATTTCATCCCAATTTGTGACTGTTCATCAGCAAATACACACAGTCAGGGTTTGCATCCAGGACTTTTCAGTTACAAGGCAAGCTGATAGACCATTTATCCACTTGAACCCGACTCTAACTTTTGGCAATTAAATATTTTAGTGCGACCACAAACCAGTGACATTGGCGAGTACTTTTTTGGGATTCATAAGCCACTAAATGGCATCTCAGTGGCTGAATGATCTACAAATTCGTCATGTAACTTGAAGGTCCTGGATTTGAACTCAGGTGAACATGCACTGCCAATGAGTCCAAAACACTGGTGTCTTCCAGTGGTTCTCTAAATGATATCAATCCGTGGTCAAACCCGAAATAAATTAAATCTTTACGAGCTAACTCAGGAAAATGAGTAAGTGTTTTCACATACTGAGCCATACAAAGTCGAGCTTGAAAATCCTCTGCCTCAAGACAGGACTTGAGTTTCAGTTCCTAGCTTACTAGACCACTGCTGTTGTCAATGAGCACCTTCCTTCCCTTGCTTCGAATTTCTCTCTTTGAAACCTTATGAATTAATGTGGATAATAGGTTAGAAAGTGAACAAGATGAGTTGGCCATGCTAGATAGTAGAATAAAACGAAAACAAGATGGTTGCTGGTTAGATACCTAGCATTTATAGGAAACCGACACACACTCGAATGAATACTTTGACTTTAACTTACCTCATCCAAAACTGGTAAATGAAGAAAAGTTTTGTTGAATGCACAGTACTCCTGTATAAAGAGGGATTCCTTATGTAGGATTCTCAATGAGGCTGGAATTATTCAGCATGGCATTTAAACCATCTAGCCAACTCTCTCAGAAATAAACTTTCTCGGCTTAGGCATCTCAAAAGATCCAATTCAGAAAAACGACACAGTTTACCAAATAACATGTCATGACTGTTAGTGTGGTCAACAGCATAGGTCAAACTAGTAGATCAGGTTCAGTTAGATTATTGGAACATCAAAAAGTAGCTAACTAGACCTAGAATATTCAAGTGTTGGTTTGTAGGGATTTGATTGGTTTCAGGATTTCATCATCAGCTGACATTAGTTAGAGAACTATTGGAAAACAAGCTGGGAGTACAGGACAGCTGTTTCGTCCTAGTTTGGGACTCTTCAGCAGTACGCATCCACCGGGATTCGAAACCAGGACCTTCCGGTTACAAGGCGAGCCGAAGACATTGGCTAACTGTCGCGCTATGTCGTGAATTGGCAGAAGTTAGAATTCAAGGACCATTGGAAAGGGTTCCGGTGGCTTAATGGTATACGAGCTCGCCTTGTAACCGGAAGGTCCTGGTTTCGAATCCCGGTGTGTGCGTACTGCTGAAGAGTCCCAAACTAGAACGAAACAGGTATCCAGTACTCCCAGGTTTTCCAATGGTTCTCTAACTAATGTCAGCTCATGATGAAATCCTGAGACTTAGAATAATTAACCGTACTAAGTTAAATCACCCATAAACAACA